CCTAATACAGGCAGCTCGAACCTCACAGCAAGAAAGGAAATAGAGTTTCCTGCCCAGTCCATGCACAGACGTTGCCTTCACCCAAGGAGCAGGTCAGCCCTGGCTCCCTCTGCCCGCATGCTCCCTCTCCAGCTCTGCTGCCTGCTCCCAAGCTCTGCTCCCCCACATGTCAGGGCCATACCCTGCTGTAAAACTGGAGGAGAGTGTTGTAGAGCATCTGGTGCTTTTCAGCCAGGAAGCGGTAGCGGCGTTTCTCCTCTAGCTCAGCCTCTCTCTGGCTCTCAGAGACGAACACCTGCATCTCCGAGCGCAGTCGCATCACATTCTCCTGCACCACAGGGAAAAAAGGAAGGAAGGGATCAGTGAAAATCCAGCAAAGTGGGCTCACACATTGCATAGGAAGGGTTGAAAGGGGTCATCATGTCAATGAGCTTCCCAGTTCACTTCCAGTGCTGGAGCACCACAGAGAGATAGAGCAGAGTGTCAGGGATTAAGTCCTTGCACACTGAGGCTTCCTAAGTGAGGAAAAGGCTTGACAGGAGTGAGTACCACAGGTCAGTAGCACCCTGTGGAATAGGAGTTTCCTACTTTCCAGATAAACCTGCTGCCTTTTGAATATTGGGGGCAACTCTGTGGCTAAGGTAACTGAGAAATCAGCCCTGGCTCCACAGAAATCATTCAGTTCTTTTTTCCAGCTCCCCTTCCTGGAATCACTGCTTACCTTCATCTCCCGTGTATTTTTATCACGAGCCCTCTCCATTCTCCACAGCTCTGCCATGCACTTATCCAAGTTGGTGGCTCTGCGCTGGTACTCCAGCTCATAGTGCTTCTGGCTCTCCTGCCAGGGAGAAACCAGGCTCAGTGAGGAACCAGAGACCCAGACACACTGTGAAGCAGCAAGGGTCCTGCTCTGATGTGTGGTTGTACATCTGAGTCCCCCTGAAATCAGGCTTCACCTGGACCTCTTATAAAAAGTCTTTCTTTACCTTTCTTTTCATTTTGAATGGCCTCAGAGTGCTGATGAACCTCAAGACCTCAGGAGCAAGAACTGGCACCCAGCTGCCCCAGGCCTCTATCTCCCTCCATGACACTACCTACCAACATGGCCAGCTGGGCCATAAAGGCAGAGGACCCACAGATATGCAGAGGCTGTGATTTGGGAAAGCTGAGAACTCTGCTATTGGGATGCCAAGTCTCTCAGTCCCGCTGAAGCATTTGGCAATTCCCACTATGGAAAGAACAGCCACCTGCCCTCTTCAGCTCTCCATCATCAGCCAAACAAGAGCGGTTTGTTCCATGATGGGAGAATAAAAGCCACCCCAACTCCTCCTGAGAAAAGTCAAGGAAACACTTCAAGTGCTCAAGCAAAAACCCTTGGGTAGATGGGAGAAGGAAACAAGGAGGGCTGAGGAGGAGGAGGGAGTTCATCACTCACACTGATGAACTGCACATCCATTTTGCTATTCTTCTCCATGTGCTGCAGCAGGTCCACGTGGAAGGTCTGAGCCTGAAAGAGGTGAAGGAGCCATCACTCTTGTCCCTTCACCAAGTGGGGTGTTGCATGCGCTGTGGTGAGGGGTGGCTCATAAAACTTGCTGTGCCAGAGACTCCCTTGCCACCTGGATGCACCTGCCAGGCTCTGCCACCCCAGCTGCAGTGGCAGCTCTGTAACACTCCTCTGTCACGTGGGATAGCAGGGAGGTAGACACCTGCCTGCAGGCTCATATGAGGGCAGGCGAAATGCTGATAAGCTGTGCTTAAGGAAGTGCCTTTATTTCCCACCTCCACCAGCCCTCAGAAAAACCACTCACCACAACCTCCAAATCAGAGCTCAGTAATCTCTGCGTATCAGACATCTGCATAAGAATTTCACCTTCAAGGAAAAAGACAGGAGAAGGTTTTAAAATCCTCCGGCCGTTTCCCTGTGTGCCCAAGGAGGCAGACCAGCATGATGCAACTCAGGCTGATGAAACACAGGTGTGAAAGTCCAAGAGATATCGCAAAGCACTGCTCTCCACACCCTGAGAGAGGTTGGTAGCCTTCCTCCCCAGGCACTGACAACACGGGGTTGCTCCAGCCCACAAAGTGGTGGGACCAGCGCTCTGTTTCGGCACCAGGTGCCAGCAGGCAGCCTCGCCTCTCCCATGGGCTCTGGACATTGGGTTTCTGCTCTACCATAGCCCCTACAGGTGCCATTTCTAATGCCAATGGCACCCCAGCTGCTGTGCTGGGAAAGTACTGTGGCCGTCCTATGGGAAAGCAGCTACGGCACCTGCTGTTGATGCTGTGCACGGTCCTGTTTCACTGGTGTCAGTATTATGAAACCAGGAAAGGAAGAGACTGATGACAGGGAGCAGAGGGGCTAGCTGGGAGGTGCATATGACAACAGGAGTCTGCAGAAGGGACACATCTGCTGGAAGCTTTTTACTAAAATGTTCAGCAGTACAGTTCCCTGAGCGCATTTTCGGCAGTCGCCCCTAGGCTGCAGAGTTATTTGCACTGCTGAGTGTAAGCCCCTCAGCCCCAAGCTGCCATTCCAGCTGGTTGCAGGCTCAGGAGGACAAGACCCCATCAGCTGTTGTCAGTGCATGCTCTCCAGCTTTTCCCCCACACCTCCAAGGAGGAAGAAAATGGTTCCTCCCTGACAAAAATTTCATCTCTCAGGGAAGGAGACCTCAACAAGGACTGGTTTCCATGAGAGGTCAATCATTGGAGGTCCATCTCAGGAGGTGGGCTCAGTCAATGATCTCAGAGAGATACAGAGACCATGAGAGATATTCAAGGACACACAATAAATTTGACTCTCAGCACCTGGACAGGGCCTGATGTGGTGAGACATCATTTAGAGGCGCTATCTTTCTTCCCTCTATTCCTGGTAAGAGACCAGCTAAGGGAGAAGGCCAAAAAAACCCCAACTGTGGCTCATCACAGGACAGAGTGTGGTGTGCAGGAGAGCCTTACCCAACATGTGTGAGGTGGAGCTCTGCAGAGCTTGTTCCCCAATCTTCTCAATTGCCTTAAAGTACACTTCAGCTGCTTTGGATAATGCTGTGAGGAGAGGAGAGGAGAGAGGAGGGAGATAAGGGTCTGGCCTGCCTTCCCACCATCACCAGCTCCAGCAAGCAGCACACAGAACAGCTACCCCCTGGTACATCGCCTATAGGCAAGGGCACCCCATCTCTCCCCATCAGCAGCAGGTCCTGGAGTAGAAGAGTACTTAAGGGCAGCTCAGGGCACGTCAGAGGTGGCGGATCAGCAACCTTGTCCTGGGTGACAGCACAGAAGATGCCCAGGATGGATGCAGCAGTATGGTCTGGAGCCCTGGCTGGGCAGGACCCCACTCACCATGGAAGGCACGCAGGTAGTTGTTCCCCAGGTACACCAGGTTCTCCAGCGCAGGGTTGAACTGCTCCAGGATACTCTGTGGTCAGGCAGAAGCACGTTAATGCTGTTCTTCCTCACACCCCAGAGATTTCAGCAGATTGATGCCCCTCTGCTGCAGTTTGGCTGGATGAGAGCTCCTCCAGCCACAGCACAGGCTGGCTGTGGGGATGTACAGCCGAGCACAAAGTCAGCTCCCTGCAGTGGAAGTGGCTAGGAACTTTGGCTGCCCTTAGACTTCCCAAGCTAGCCAAGAGAGGAGCAGTGCCAGAGGGCAAGGTACCCACTGCACAGCCAAGGGGTTGCCTGACTGAAGATGGCTTTCTCCCAAGGATCCACACCCACTGCAGGCAGGGGAGTAAGTGCAAGGGGATCTGAACAGCCTTTCCCCTCATCCCAGAGCTGGCCAGGGTGAGGGCCACTGTTTATTATCCAGGCACAAACACAACTCTTTCCTGGCCAGGATGTGGTGCACTGCCAGACTCAGGAGCTTAGTAAGAGAAGGGATAGACTGTTTCAGACCAGCCTTTCCACTTTTATTTGTTGTATTTATCAAAAGTGTTCATTGACTACAGAGAAGACCAGAGATTGGAATAAGCAATTCCCCCTTCTGCCAGCCCCCATCACCTTGATTCAGCACTAAAGTGTGCAAGGAAACATTTGTAAGATCAGACAGCTCTTTCCAGTGAGGGAGAAAATAGCCGATCGAACTTCTTCCTACCAGCAACCAAGGTGTGTCACCCTTCATGCTCCGTGCCCCAACCACCCTGGTCGCCCAATTCCTTCCCGAATCTGCCTCTAGGACCCACACCATCATCTCCTCCTGCCAGCCATCTGCTCTCAAACACAGCCCAGAGCCCACAGGAGCTGCTGGAGTTCTGCCCGCATAGGGATTCAGCCCTCAGCTGTCCACCCAAGGGAGTCTTTGGCAGAAAACAGCTCTTCTCCCCCCCACACGTCTCCCCTACTCCAACAGAAGCAGTCTGATGCCAGCACTCACCTTATAGATGGAGATGGTGGATCTGTAGGACAGATCCATCTCTGGAGCCTATTCCCTTTCCCACGGAGAAGCAAGGAGCAAAGGAGAGTACCTGGTGCTATAATGGCCTGGAGGGCTCTGCTTCTGCACAGCCAGCTGGATGGAAAGAGCCCGTCACCGGCAAGAAAGGACAGCAGGAAGACACAGATGTGGTACAAAGGGAGCACTGATGGAGTTTAATAATTCACCAGCCAAGAGACTGGAACTTGATCTCTGGAAGTAACCAGACTCTGGGGAGAGAGGAATCCTGTGACAGCCAGTAAGGACATGTGACCGCCTCCTTGCATTATTGATTGCCAGCTTGGTACCCAGCTCTCCCTGTCCTGACACCTGCAGGGCCGGCCACCTGCCTGAGTATCCGCCTTATGGCTCGCTGCCTCCGTCACTGCCACTGCTCAGTCCAGTCCTGCTGTGCTAGTGGAGCAGGTCTCTCTCACGCAGACACCTTGGGAGTCAGGAGATCCCCATCAGCTTGCAATGGCAGGCAGCAAATAGCAGCAGGCAGGGAGAATACAAGGAAAGCTCAAAACAAATGAAAACTCTTCCCTGCCCACTATTCCCCCTCACCAGGCTCCCTCCCACACCCAGTGTCAGAGACTCCCTAACAGCAGGAACAGGCTTCTGTCTGAACCCTTTCCCAGGTTTCACGTCTGGTGAGCTGGGACTGGCACTGCCATTGCAAGTGCTCCTGGCACACACCTGGCAGAGAAGGACAAAGCAAAGCCCAGTCAGGGCCTCCCCTGGCAGCACCCATCCCAGTCCAGAGCAGCAGGCAAAGGGCCCACAACTGTTTGCTCAGGATGGGTCTGGAGGTCTCCATGGGCACTGTGCCACAGCCTGGCTCAGGCAGCTAAGGAGCTGATGGATGCAGACCGGGTCACACAGCCCACAGCCCCTGCACTCCCCAACACCTACTGCCAGCAGGGGAGCAGGGATGCTTCTCTGGTTTCCAGACCAAGGGCACAACAGCTGAGCAGCTCACAGGGCCCTCACCCTGAGCTGCCCTGACTCTGGCTGGGACTGGGTTAATTTTCTCCCCAGTAGCCCGTACAGTGCTGTGTGTTGGACTTGGTATGAGAATAATGTTGATAACACACCAATGTCGTAGTTGTTGCTAAGTAGTGGCTTGCTCTAAGCCAAGGACTTTCCTGTTTCCCATGTTCTGACAGTGAGGAGCTGCACAGGACACTCGGGAGGAGCACGGCCAGGACAGCTAATCTGAAGGAGCCAAAGGGATTTTCTATGCCATAGAACATCATGTCCAGTATATAAATGGGGGGATTTACCTGGAGGGGCCAATCACTGCTTGGGGATGGGCTGGGCATTGGTCAGCAGGTGGTGAGCAACTGGGTTGTGCACCCCTTGTTTCTCTTGGGTCCTGTTACTCTCTCTCCCTCTCCTTTTATTATTATTATACTTTATTATACTTTGGTTCAATTATCAAATTGTTCTTCTCTCAACCCACAAGGTTTACCTTTTCTTTCCGATTCTCCTCTCCAGCAGGGGTGTGGTGGGGTGTGAGTGGCTGGGTGGTACTTAATTGCCATCTAGGGTTAACCATGGCAACCCTCCTGATCTCCCTGCCTGCGTGCAAGGAACCTGCTCCAGAAGTCCCTGCAGACTTATAAAGAGGGGGGCAGAGTGCAAGCCAGGGGCAAAAAGCAGAAAGGAGCTTAGGGTCTCTCCATCTCAAGTTTTGTTTTTCTACAAGAAGGTAAGGCCCTCTGTTATACAGGAAAAGAAAACTTTTACTCTGCCTAAAATCCTCTTAATTCCACAATCTCATTTGTGAAATTGAAGATCAGAAGGCAGATAATCAGTTTTTAGACCTATTCATGACTCAGCACCTCAGTGGTGTCCTGTGGGAACCACTAGGCAGCAGGTCCAGCGGGTTTGCAGCAGTTACCTTGTTGGGGAACCACTTGGGGATACCAAAATTAAAGCCCCATCTCCAGCCTTTTGTATCCCAAAGGGTTTCAGTGTTCTACTTTTTAGGCCTGGCCAGCTCTAAGAGGATCCTCATATTGCAGCGGGTCCAAAGCCTTTTTCCTCTCGTTGCAACTATTGTGGAACTATCAGCCACTCACACCACATATGTGCTCCCAGGGCTGTCTGCAAGGACAGGTCATTCACCTCTTGGTATAATCCTGTGTCTCAAGGAGCCCTATTCCTGATTGTGTACCTGGAAGAAATTCAGAGGCTGCAAGCTCAGAAGCCCTCTGGGAACTTGCAGGATAGAGAGGACAACCATTGACTGCATGACATCAGAAACAAATGCAAATCCCTCTTTATTTCAGGTCATGTCAGTTTTTCACAGAAGCCCTGTTGGCAACAGCAGTCCATTCAGTCAAAAGCAAAGGATTAAAAATTCAGTTTTTTGGGGTACTCCTCAAAACGCATCCAAATACATACAGAAGTTATTTATAAATATGCAAAATTTACGACAGAAACAATGACTAGTATAGCAGTCACAGTGAAATTTCCAGTAGTAAAAAAAAGTAAACCCAAATTGTCACAGGGTCAGCTTCTTTAGAGGGAACCGATCTCAGAGTATTTCAATTCCATATTAAGATAAACGACCTCTCTACTAAGCCAAGGCTCTTGTCCCTTACCCTGAGTTTGCTGCGAGTAAAGTCAGGCTTTCACATCTCAGCCTTGAGCAAAGAGCAGCACAGCAAATCAGGTGGCACAAAAAGCCCTGAATGGGAGGGGTCTGCTCCCACCCTAGGCACAGTCAGTACCTGTGTTGCCAGCCCATCTCAGAGGGGAAAGAAGCTGCTACAGAAAACCTGTCTCAGGAAAGGTTTGCCCTTCTCCCAAGGCCAGCTGCAACATTCTGTGTCATATCTACTCCAAAAAGTTGAAGCATTTCTGCTCCCCTTCAAACTGGGTGTGTTGAAGGAAAAATAATCCCTTTTTCCCATACTATACGCTCCGAAATAACTTGGCCCCAGTGGGCCAAGCAATCCCTGAAACTGTTATCAGGTCTTAGCCCGTTCTGTGACGTGGGAAGGTGCACAGTGCTTTGTCAGTGGAGGTACTGCACAGACAGGAGACATTCCAGCTGCTACAGCTCAAGACAGGTAGGCGGGGGCTCTGGATTCTGAGTCAGACAGCAAGGCAGCAAAACCAAGCACAGCAGCAGAAACAGGGCTACAGAACAAGGATAACTGTCAGCATTTCATAGCTATCCGGGAATACGTGTGTATGTGCACTGTTGTCTATTAAATATTATTAGTTCCTCATAATTATCACTAGTCCTTCCCCCAGCTCAACACCTTGGTTGAAGGGCAAATCTGAGCCATTTCAGTGTCTGCTGCTCCTTGCCTTTGGCATGCAGAATGGGAACCTCCAGGTCAGTCATCGGCAGAGATGTTGCACCAGCTGCTCGAACTGCTCCCGGTGCTGGTAGATGTACAGCTGGGTGTCCCAGAGAGCGTTCACCAGCACTGTGTCATTCACCTCGTCCAGCATCACCTCCGTGTGCAGCTGAGGGCTGAGCCTGCAGACACCAAGACAGCATCACCAGCTGGGCACAGATGCAGAAGTGGTCAGGCACAAGCCTGCCCAGCAGGAGACTTTTGCCAAGGGGCTCCTGCCACTGAGATGCTCACTGGCCCTTTATCTGTCAGACTTGTAGAGCCACAGTTCAGCAACTGCAGCACACAAGGGACAAATCTAAAACAGGCCGTGCGTGGTGGAATGGGGCAGGATGCACATCCCAAAGGACCATGCAAGACAGCAACCCACAAGCCTCCACTAAGTGTCCCCAGACCAGGCATGCTCGGAGCATCAGCTCATGCAGAGGCCAGGGCATCCTCCGTTGTGTCACTGAGGCGAGAGGGTAGCGGGTAGGGGACAGGTTTGGGCAGGCATGCCTCTGGAGGGGATGCTGTTTGGGATGACGCATGCCACAGCCAGGTCTGAAGTAAGAGGGATAAAAATAGACCTGTGCAGACAGTGGAAAGGAAGCTCCTACCGGAAATATGGGACATCCGTCATCTCACACCAGGCCCTGGCACGATCCACAGCTGGGCCATCTGCGTCAGTGCACTGCAGGAGAAACAGGCCCACAGTTACAGCCTGACTGCTCTTCCCCTGCCTGCAAGACGCTTCCCTGGCACCAAGTTGAACTGCAAAAGCTGCAGAGGGAAAGGAAAAACCAGGAGCAAGTTCATCCTGGATGGCCCTGCTTGCCACCAAGAGTGAGGCAGCTTTTTATTTATTTATTTTTATTTTTAACATAAGAACAGTGCTCCTGTCTTTGGGACACAAGGAATTGCACCCTACAGATCCTCCATACATCACAGCACTGAGTACACTCCCTTAAAGAAACTTCCAGGAGGACATGAATGACAGCCTCCTTGGGATTTTATTCATTCTGTCCAAGCCCTGTAACAGCACAGCCTGTGATTACTACAGGCCTCCTGGGCTATCCTGGCACAGCTCCCTGGGAGCCCTGAAATAAAAGACAGGGGAAGCAGAGGGACTCCGGGCACTTTCTGACTTTAGGAAGCTAAAAAGGAGATAAAACAACAGAATTAAGATCACAGTCAGAACTTCCGTTCTGATCCTTCTGGCTTTCATTCATTTAGAGTGTTTTCATGCACAACAGTTCACGATCTTCTTTCTGAAACATGCAAGCTCGTATTCCTATTACACACTCCTAACCACAGCTCTCAAAAACTGTTTTTTATTAGTGACTCTTCCACTTCTCTAGCATTTACTGATTTCCCCAGTGGGGACAACGAGGCTTTTCTAAAGAAAAACGAACTGCTGTTTTCCAAGGAATGACTTTTTTTTTTTTTTTGGCCCGGGTTGCTCATATGATAATCAATGCTGCAAATGTTCCTAAGGGTCACTGACCACCATCCTGTCCTCAGCCCCTTTCAGCTGCAAGAACCTGCCTTGGAACTCAAAACCCCAAAGAAGCTGTGCTCCCGCAATTCTTAAGTTACCCACTACATCCATGGTCAGAGCAGTTCCAAGGAAACAAAATTTACTTCCAAAAGGAAGAAGCTGAAGACTGGAAACTTTTTCTCCCTACCTGCAAACAACCCCAGGGGTCTTTCCCCATCCCCTCCTCCCAGTACTCACACAATCCACCACCATCTTGCCAAGTTCCCTGGCCCCAAAGACAGTCTTCGCCAGCTCCCAAGGGTTGGAGGGGCGGAAAACATCCACAGAGCTCACTGGGACCTGCGGAGGCTTCCCTGTCCCCAGGGAGACCACCAACCCCAATTTTCTTACTTCCTGCCTCCGACCCTGTGGACAAACAAAAGATTTGTTTACTAGAACCAACAATGAAGGCAGAGCATGTCTTTCACAGCAGTCCTGGGGAAGCTCTGAAAGCCAAGGCAAAAGGCTCAGTAGTCTTTTCTCTCCCCTTAAGTACAGCCTGGTGAGACAGGTGTAACCCACAGGAGTTCAACAGTTGCACTGTTCTGTCTCTTATCCCTCTGACTGCACCCAAACTCATGGGAACACCCTGGAGATGAGTCCCGGGACCAGATGACCATGAAACAGTACAACTCTTCAGTCATTCTGACAACACACCTCCCCTTTCAACTACAGGGAACAAGAGCTGCCAGTAGTTATTCATGTTTTTTAAGAATTTGCCACACCACAGAAGGCATTCCCTCTTCAGCCTCACAGAGTACCCTACCTTTGTCTTCTCCATTTATTTTTGGGCAGAAAAAGGCCATGCAGAGCTGCATCAAGGGCCACACACAACCGCCAACTGAATCATCCTTGTTCAAAGTAGCAAAGAGAGGCTGGTGAGGCTGTCTCCATGTCTCACACCCTTGTCAGAAGAGGTATCTCCCCTCCCAGCCACCATTGCCAACGCATATACACTTCCTTTCAGGGTGCTGCACTGCTACCTAGTTTATCCACTAATATGCATCCATTGCCAAACCCATTTCCTCTTCAAGGGGGGCTCAGTGGGGCCAAAAAACCCCAGTTACCAGACATGGCTAGGATTTCCCTCACCTTTTTGATGAGCGTCTTATTGTACTCGTGGATCTCCGCCATGGCGTCGAGGGTCGGGTTGTTGGCCAGCAGCCCTCCATCCAGGAAGCGGCCGATCGGCCGGAAATAAGTGGGAGCCGCACCGCTACAGCGGGCAGCGCGCCACACCAGCTGGTCTGGAGAGGGAGGAAGCAAAAGGCCTCTTGCAGCAACTCTGCTGTGCACAAGGAGCACGCTGCCTTCACCAGCACTAAGCAGGAGGGCTTGCAATCCCCAAAAACCCCGCCCTGCAGTTTTGCCTCTTTCTCCCAACAGCAGGGCCTCTGCTTGGATGCACAGAATGATTTGGGGGGGCTTTAAAAGATGTTCTCACAACTTTCTACATATCCTGGGTCAAATTCATTCTCTATCCGCTTCATTGCTGCTATTTTGATAATGAACCAGTTGTGTATGCTAGACAAAGCAGCAAGCTGGAGGGGGCTGCGTGCTTCAGTTACACAGCTCTTCCATGTTCTTCTGTGAGAGCCCAGGGAAAGGTACTGACTGTATGCAGGACTGCTCTAGCAGACCCCTTCCTCATGAACCTTGCCAGCCAGTCTCTGCTCCTGGTACAAGAGAAGCCAAGGGAGGAAGAGAAAGGAGAAAAGCCAAGCTCTGTTAGGACCAAGCTACAAGTCAAGACCAGGGATGAGCCATTGCTGGGACGCCCTGATTTTTAGAGCGATGGAGGAAGAACATGAAATATGTCCCTCTCAACCTTCCCTGCCAACTAGACAGACTTCTGTGCACTATAATTTACCTTCTGGCCGAGTGAGTGGTTTGAAAGATGCACTTGTCTTGTATTCAGTGGAGGTTTTTGTCTCTGGTACAGGGTAATTCCGGAAAAGGTGGAGCTCAGCTGGCTGTCGGTCACACAACGTCCCGGTTACCATAACCCTAGGGAAGAGGACATGAGAGAATAAGAGTAAAATGGAAAAAAAAGTACTTAGGCTTCAAGAGTCTGCACATCACACTTCTGCAGATCTGCTCTAAGGAGAGGCTGAGCATCTCTGCTGAGAGGGGTCTAGAGCACATGCAGGACAGCATCAACCAGCATAGCCCCAGGCAAGACTTACTTGGGTTTTCGGACATCTGTCATTTTGGTGTTTTCCCCAAATTCCTTCTTCAAGAACTCATCCAGGGGCTCTGACTCGTAGGGCCGAGACCCCCGGAACACCATGTCCTTCATGCGGAAGTACAGGCAGCGCATGTAGTCCATGGACTTCCCTGAGACAGGCAACAGTGTTGGCAGGAGCAGGAGCGAGAGGAAGGGCAGGCAGAACAAACAGCACATCAGAGCTAGGACTTTCCAGAACAAGCAGGAGATGGGAGGCATCACTCCCAATCCCACCCCCTTCCCAAGCTGCCTGTCATCTGCTTAGTCCTCAGCAGGATGACTGGGAAGGATTACAGAGGAAGAGCAAACTTGGAGCACAGTTTCCCACTACCAGAAAGTGTCAATCACCTTGCTCTGAAGCCCCTGTGGAGACCATAGGAAGAACAGAATATTGCACTCTGCCACCACTCACTTCCCAAAACCCAGAAAGCTGCTCAAAGCCAGCTGATGTGAGAAGCAAGCGCAAAGCCAGGTCTAGGTTTTCCTTCATTAAGGAACATCCCATCCCTCCTTTGGCAGGCAGGTACAAAAGATCTCAGTCAGGACTCAGAGAGGCAGCTCCCACCCCACATTCATTCCCCACAGAGGTGTGCTCAGGCCCACAGCAGCGAGAAGGGGCCCATTGTTTGCACTGTCCTTACCATGTACAATAGCCAAGGCCAAGATCCCGCCAGTGCTGGTCCCTGCGACCCAGTCAAAAATCTCACGAATGGGACGGCCCGCAGCTTTTTCGATAGCCAGGAGGAGCTGGATGAGCACGAGGCCCCGGATGCCCCCTCCATCCAAGCACAGGAGGCGGTCCTGACTGGAGAGAGACAGACACAGATGACTAGCAACTGTGAGACAGATTACAAACCACAGAACACTGCATGGGAATGTGGCTTTGGGAGCAGGAAATTATGCCAGTTACTAGATTGCTGCAGACAGAGTAATCAGTGAATTAATAAATCCAGTAGTGGTCTCTCAGGTGCAAATAAGACACGTCCAATAATCCTTGCCAGAGCTGGTGCAACACCCATTGCTCTTGCATAGCCATCTCTAACCTCTACACCAGAGAGTCACCAGCCGAAACCACACCCAAGTCCCTTACTACACACTAGTGAGTATTGTGTCATAAATAAAAAGCAGATAGCCCTAAATCCTGCCAGCAGCACTTCAGTGCCAACCCTTCCTCCACTCCATGCAAGATGAGGTCCTGAGGAGCTGGGTGAGCATCAGGGCAGTGTGTGGAGATGGGGTAATCACAAAGCCAAAGCAGCATTGGGTGCCCAGTGGCACAGGAGAGGGACAGAGCAGGGGTTTCACTTGCTGTGCTGCACACAGGACAGGCAGTGGTCATTTATTGAAACAGAAATTTATCGCAAGGTGTTGGCAAAAACTGCAACAGCAACGGACATTAAATATCAGCTCTGAGGAACCCACCCCCACGGGTGTGGGAGGGGAGAATTCACACACAGATTTCACTTTCAAGATGCATGGCAGCCTGGACAGAAGCTGCTCCTCACTTACTTTCTTCTATCTTCACTGGGCATGTCCACAACATCTGGTGCCTTCAACAACTGTCCGAGAGTTGTGGAAACATACAGAATGTCCTGATACCCTACAGGGCCATGAACATGCAAAAGGAAAAAAATATTAGGGACCGTCAGTGTGGTAAATGATTTCCACCATAATCACAGAGAGAATATCCAACTCTCTTCCTCACTGAATAAAGCTGCCTGTAGGAGACACAAGCCATCTTACCCACAGCCAACAGGTACCCCCCACACCAAAGAAGTGCAACACCATCCTTTAGAGTGTGCAGCTGGAGATGCACTGGCAGAGACAAAGGGTTTGTAGAAGCAGAAGATGAGCACAGTGGGTGAGAGAGAAGGCAGAGCCCAGCAGTGTGCCCACTAAGCAGTTTACTGCAAGCTGCTAAGATAAAACCTAAATCTACTCCTCAAGGTAACCTAGGCAGGAGAGCTGTGGAGACAGAGTGGCTTATCATTACCCCTCAGCTGATGTTCACCCAGGCCACCCTGGGTGCAGGGCACCGATCCAGGCTAGGTGAGAAGCCAGCCTAGGAAACCAAAAGAACAGGGGGAGAGAAGTTACATACTCCTGCCAGCACCCAGGCTGGAAGGTGGTTGTGTCTAGAGCACATGGAGACAACGAATGTGGCGAGGAGTTTCTTCAAGGGCCAGAGCCCAAGACAAAAAAGCGTCTTGCTCTGTCACTGCATCAGAGCTGAAACTGAGCAGGGATTGCCTTCGCCAGGCCATGGTGAGAAGAAAGTCCTGGTGTCAGCAGCCAGTGAGATTTGTGGTGACACAGACACACTCCGGGGTTATCCTCTAGCCCCACAGGAAAGCCTTTGCAAAGGAAACCTCCAGCCTGAGACAGGAAGATGTCCACAAGAAGCTGCTAGCTGCCTCCATGCTCCTCTCATGAGGGTGAGAGCCTCCCTCCAAGTCAACTCACCCACTACTCCAGAACCCCTCCCACTGCCTCTGCCTGAGCTCAGCGGAGGTGGAAAGCCCAGCACTTAGAATAGACCCATGTGTTTATTCACAGAGTCTGGGCAGTATGAAGCACAAGCTACGACACAGTTGTATGTCCTAAAGTAGGCTTTTCCTCTGCATAACAAACCTGTGACCAGGGTTACTTATCCTCAGACTTCACCCCTTCCCTCTCCCAGCTGCTGGCCTCCAGGATCTGAAAAAGTAACACTTCTAAATCCCCCCCAGCACAACACTGGGTGGTCCTCAAGGCAGACCACTAAGTACATGACCCAGTGGATAAAGTACATGCCAGCAACTAAGTGCTACACCTCTTCCAGAGGGGTGAAGGAATCAGTCTTCCTGCTCCTTTTTACAGAGCTGCATCTGTCAGTTCTATAAAACAAAAGTCTGGAGTACAAGAGTTTAGAGTACACACACAGGAAAAGCAGAGAAAAGAGATAGGATCCTGCAACAGCTGAACGAGGACGGAGTCACGACAGAGTCACCAGATACTGAGAGCTAAGACAGTTCCCAGAGCACAGCCCATCTGAAGAAGAGATCCAAGACAGCACTGTGAAGCATGAAGGAAGGAGAACAAGAGAGGGCCAGGGAAGGCTTTACCTAAGCTGTTGAAGCTGCTCCGTGAGGAAGGCTGGCCTTCCAGGAAGGAGGCGGCAGATGGTGCCAGGCTTGGGGAGTCAGGGTTGGGTGGTGGGTGGCAGCGTTCGGTCCCTACAGTTTGCAGCAGGTCTAAGAGCACTTTCCGGTTCGCACCTTAGGTGACGGGAGGGGGAGTCACAGAGCAGAAAGAGAATCAGTGCACAAACACACCAGGGGGATAATGTGCTCTGCCAAACTCACAGCAGGCCTGAGCCGCACAAAACCTCTGGGATGACCCGAGGAAGGGGAAAGCACATCCCGGGTCTCTCTCCCCAAACACCAGGCAGCAGGACTTGTGCACAGCGGGAGTACCCAGCACTGTGCCGCTTCAAAGGAGGTGTGTGCCACACACTTCTTGCCACTGAAGAACCACCCGTGTCTGCTCCCACCTGAGCAGTTCAGCAGCACTGTGTCATCCTGTTGTGAGCCTGCAGTGCCTGACATGGTGGTGTGAAAGAGGGGGAGTGCAAGTGCATGCCAGCTTTTCCTCTTGCCTCTCTATCTCACAGAAGAGAAACCGATCAAGGGCTAGTAATACAAAGCCTACACCGCTAGCAAAGGAAGCACCTACCCTGTGAGCGACTACAAAAGCATACTGGAAAAGCATACTGGAGAAGCATCACCCATGCATGGCAGGCTTTCACCTCTTCCCAAGACACCATTTCGGCCACCAAGGGGAGACAGGGTGCTGGATTCACCCTGTAAGGCTGCTGACATGCTCCCTCACCTTTGCTGCTCCTGGCTGCCAACAGTCCTGGTGTCTCCCCAAAATCATTGGGGATCTCGATATCTCCTCCAAACACGACGATCGCTTTGATCATATCCAGGTGGTCATGCTAAGGGATAAGAGAAAGCTCAAGAGCCACTACATGATTTTTCATTCCTTCCCTCCTCCTTTTATTAGCCAGATCCACCCACAAGGGATCACCACATGGAAGGCAAGAGCCAGAATTTCAAAGGAGTCTGTTTCTGTTTCAGCCCTTCAAGAAAACCCTCTCTCTCCTTCCCAGCATCCTCTGCAGAAAGCTCACCTTCATGGCCAGGTGCAGGGGTGTGTTGCCATCCTGACCGCGGGCGTTGGTGTGGGCGCCGTGTGTCAGCAGGACCATGGCACAGTCAAAGCGTCCCCTCTGCACCGCGATGTGCAGAGCCATGTCAGCCGTCCGGCTGGTCACGTTCACCTGGGAGCCGTACTCCAGCAGCAGCCGTGTCATCTGTGCCCAACGTGCAGGTGCCAGGTCAGGAAGAGATAAAGCAACCGTAAGGACAACCACCTGGGTGTTCAAACCATTCAGGTCTCACGGCAAGCAAAGCAGGGGAAGAGGAGGGAGCCTTAGCCTGGACATAGTTGGCTGGCAGATGCCAGCTGAATTTTCCAAGTACTGGAGATGGGGTTTCTGGGTCTTTTACCACAGAACTAGCTGGTGGTTTTGCAAGCTGGCTAGAGGTTCTGGATGCTTTGGGATTTATATGCAACTGTAATGACTGGCTGAGATCAACTGAGAAAAAAACCAGTTCTTACTCAGGCCAGGATCCTTTCAGACTGGAAGGAAAAAGTTTGCTCCCTGAACTTCTCTTTATAAGCCAGGCAAATTTAGGTCTGCTCTGAAACTCCACAGGACATTTCTGAGCAGGATGTGATACCGGAGGAGGGAGAAGAGTCTTGTTATAGGAAAGCCCTCTGCTTGCAACAAGCACCATTCAGGTGGCTCCAGCATGGCATATCACTGACCTGCTCATCTCTGGTAGAACATGGACCGTCATGCACATGCCACCCCCCTGTCACTATCTCACACTTCCCCTGCAGTCTTTAGGGTATTGATTTGTTTGCTTCCAGGAAACTGTCAGGTAACAAGAAAAGAGCTCCCTCCCAGGCCAATTGTGCTTCAGGGACAGTGCTGCAATTTCCTCAACAAAAGGGAAAAGGGACAAGCTGGCAGTTTCACAGTCACAGATGAAGTACTAGGGATGACTCCACCAGTTTATTTCACTGCAAGGCTCCACTGCTCTGTCCCCTGTGGCAAACAGCACTGATTGGCACAGGGCAAAGGGAATCAAACACTGGGCTGGCTGGGCTCTGACACTCCCAGGGCTCTGCACATGCACTTGAAAAGGGACAGGTTAGCAGCAAGAGGAATTAGTTGCATGCTGGGTGGCAGCTCAGGCTCTCACCATGGATTGGCTCCATTTACCTCTGCCTTCTTCGCCCAGTGCAGTGGAGTAGCTTCATAGCGTGGGTCCTTGGAGCAAACCTGGCTGGCATCTACCTCGAGGATGGCCTGGGCACACCTGTCAGACAATGACATGACAGGATGGGTGGCTCCTGTCTTCGCTCAAGACCTCTGCCCACATCAGCACCTGCCTTCCACCCAGAGGAAAACCAGAAAACCCTTCAGCAGCAGCAGGGTCTTTGCGACACCTGCAAGTTCCTCAGCTGCACTTTTATTTTGCTCTTTATAGAAAGGGTGAGTGCAACAGGAAGCATACAAGCAGTACAGTGTTCAGAGCAGGAGAATCTCTTCCCAATTTCAAGCTGTGGAGCAACACCTGAATGCTTCTCTGATACAGGAATATGGCATTTCTGGAAACTCTTGAGACCTGAGAGGAAATTCTTCTCTCTTTCTGTGGAAACATGGGGATAAAACTGAAATGGTTAAACACTTGCTGAAATTAAGAATCTGTGTACTTCTCTATGAGAGAAAAATCACACCTGTTGTGAACAGACCAGTATCTGATGCCTAGAAAGCAAGGTAGGTAGACTTAGAAAATATAAGCATATGCTCTCCTCTCTAAAACACCACCAAACAAACCCTGCACAAGAGATCAAGCCCCAGTGCAAACTCAGTGACCTAGGCACATTTTGGGCTTGTGAATGTGTCTCTAATGTTGGGAATTGCTTTTTAAAATGCTGAAAAATCAGCTAGCTGCAGCTAGTGTTGGCTTGAGAGCCCTATTTTCAGAGCTCAGATACCCTATAAGCATTAAGTATTGTAAAGTATACACAAAGCGAATCAAATTTCTCCAGGGAAAACCAAACAGAGAGTAAACATTGTGCCTCTTTTGATTCAGTTCCAGAGTGTGTTATTAAGAGTCAAGAGTACTTCTGGCCTATAGGAGATGGGAAAAATTAGGCTCTGCAATGAGAGCTTATTAGAATCAGAGCACTCAAAGACAGAGGTGCATCAATTAGCAATGCTATTTAAGCATCAGTAAATCATTTTCTCACAGCTCATTTTGAGAAAAAGTATTTCACAAAAGGTTTTTTGAAATCTGTCTTTCTCCTGATGTCTAATACTGAATAATATATTAATTCAGGGAAAAGCCTTTCTTTTCTGAAGGCATTTCTTTCTTTCCCACACCCGCATTTCCCTGTTCATTTGCCAATTCAGTGATGCAGCAGAAGACTGCACAAGACATCTTCCTACTGAGCGCAGCCCTGAAAGAGGTCCAGTGTTGGACAGTGCTGAGCCAGCAGACAGGTTCCCAGACTGGAGGGAGAGCCGTGTTCTGGCAGCCCAGGCAGTTACGTACCCCTTGTGGGAGAACTTGAGTGCTGTGTGGATGGGGTATCCCAGCATGCCCACAACGCTGCAGCTGGCACGGCATTTCAGCAGGGACCGCACCATGTCCTCTTTGCCCAACTGGCACGCGAGGTGCAGAGCGGTCAGCCCCTCATGGTTCAGGTGGTCCAAGCCAGTAGTTGGGGTTCTGCCCAGGAGCTGGAAAGAGGAGAGAGTAGATAAACAAACAGACAAAGAGACATGGAAGAGCACTGTCTCTCTTCCTGAGCTGCGAGGACAGACTCTGGAGCACCTGTCTCCTCATGATGCTACAGAGTGTTCTCTACACACCTGCTTGCAACACAGTAGATATGGATGCACTCCTTGTTTTGTCTCCCCAGAGGGGAGCTCTCTGTGCCCTCTTCCTCTGGCCCAAGTGCTTCTGAGACACCCCTCAGCCAAAAAGGGCTCACACCACCTTGACTGACACAGTCCAGCAGACTCCTACCATCTCACCATGAGCCAAGCACAGGCCAACCAACTGACAGCACAAACTGAAACCAGCAGCCTTCCCTCCTGCTGCAGGAGCTCAATCTCCCCTCCAAACCCACTGCTGCTTTCAGATGAAAACAGGATTCTGTTTAAAACATGCATGTGGGAGTATATTTGAAGGAATTTTCCTATTTTCCCTGTAAATTTTAGACCTGTTGCCTGCTGGCTGGTTTCTTACATGAAAACATCCCACTGCTGTACTGGGGAAACCCTGCAAGCCCTGGTACACACAAGAGAGAGAAGTGGGATTTTAGTTTCTTTTCTCTGGTTTAGCAAGAAATCAAGAGAGAAAAGAAACAGACAAGAGACTGATCAGACCTGGAAGTATTTCTGTAACAACGAGCCAAGTTGATGCCTTCAGAGAAATAAAGAGGACACCTTTTTAACACAAAGTTCCTAACTGCTCTGCTCTACACCACAGCAAGCCCTCATCCTCATTGCTCCCCCATCATGCATTAGAAGACCCCAGCACAGTCTGGAGGGCAGAGAGAGGACTGTCACAACAGGTATTGGGCAAACGTCAAAGTTGCAGCCATAGCAGAGAGTCAGTCTCAGGCTCCCACTGAGTCTTGGGAAGCTGATGGATCTCAGGAACCACATGTAAGGCCACCTACACCCTTACAAACCCCATCACTCTGCCCAGCACTCCTCAGTAATTGAGAACACCTCTGGCTTCAGTGTCTCTGCCTCAAGGCTCTGATCGCCATTCCCTGTGCAAAGCCACTCAATTCAAACAAGTCCTGCAGCTCAGGACAACCCAGGGCAGCTCCAAACTGTCCTTCAGTTTGTGGGCAACGCATGATCCCCCACGGCAATATGAACACACATTTCCCTACGGAAGCACTCTGCCCAAAACAAAACACCCTGCAGGGAGGAGAGAGGGAAGGGACAGCCACGGGCCTGAGGAAAGGCATGAAGGTCTAATTAAATAGCAGCGAAGGACACTTTCTGAGGAAACTTGCTTAATATCCTTGTTCCAGTGCAGGGTGGAATCTGGAGCCCCTTTATGGGAAACAGGACCAGTAAAGAGAGGAAATAAGAGGCTGATATCAGACTCAAGCATAAACTAGACAGGGGGAACTGACTTTCTCCTCCCCCATCTGCAGCTGTTTTCCTGTCTCTCTCCTCACAGCACAGAGATAACCCGTTCTGGTCCCACTTTTCCCCAGACTAGAAATTGCCCCCACCTCAATGATCTGGGGGTTGCTCCCTCGCACAGCGTAGTGGAAAACAGTCTCCCCGTTCCTGTCGGTAATGTCCACCCGCGCGTGGCACTCCAGCAGCTCCAGCAGACACTCCATGTCTCCCTTGCGGCACGCCAGGTGCAGCGGGGTGCAGCCATCCTCGCTGTCCGTGCTGTTCACACAGCTGCAAGAGACAAGTCGGTGTGAGGACAAGGAGTGGCTGCGAGGAGGAGGATGCGTAGCCGCTCCAGGAGCTGATACAGAGGTACCTGCCCTATCTGCCCCATCTGGTGTGAACCATGAGGATCACAAAAGCCCAGCCTCTTGCCAGGGAAGAGCCACAGGGAAGGGCCATCAGGCAGTCCTGCCCTGGAGTCTATCCCTGACATGGTGCTCCTTCCTCTGGCCTCCGTATGGGATCAGTTCCCCCTGCACAAAGGCAGGCAGGAGACAGCTTACAGTCAGCAACCTAGTGGTGCCCTCCAATCCCCTAACTCCTCACAAGTCCTCCCTATCATCAGTGAACTCTCTATGGAAACAGAGCAAGGGCTTGTAGCCAAAAACTTGCCAGACAGTCCTCCTGTGATTTACAAATTCAGCCACGAGCCCCCCCAAAGAGCAACTCCACAAGCGCTGTGATAATCTGACCAGCATCTCTAGCAGGACACTTCAACCTTTTCCCTAAACACCAGAGCTCTGGGCTCTGCAGCAGGGGCCTGAAACCCACCAAGCAGCCCTACAGCAGCCACCAGGGCCCTCTGCCACCACCGCTGCCATCAACACACGGTGCAGCAAAGCCAGCACTTCCAAACTCATCTCTGCAGGAACCACAGGCGTTAAGCTCCCCCAAGAAGCAGTCCCTGCTGCTTTGGCACATCAGGAAGAGACACTCTAACATGGCCTGGCCCAGCCTGCCCTCCCAGCACTGGAGACCCCCTGCTCCTTGCCTCAGGATATGGTTGTGCCGGAAGCTCTCCCGGCGGCCGAACTCCACAGCGACATGTGCCGCGGACCAGCTGGGGTGGCTGCGGAGGAGGTCGCTGAGCTGCTGGAGCTCCTCCAGGGACAAGGGCTGGCATGAGCTCTCGTAGAAAGGGCGCAGCTGCCGGGCATATTGCTCAAAGAGCACCAGGGCGTCTGCTTCGTTGTCCAGCTGGAAAAGCCTGGAGGAAAGGCAAACACAGGGTCAGTCCTGCTCAAAGGAACAACCCTGACCCCATGTTTCTGAGAGGAACAGCTCTTCTCCAAACAGCAGTGCTGGGAACTTTCCTGTTTTTCCTCAACTGGTGTCATGCTTGTTCCAAGAGAAGCGTGGAAAATGTTTCATTAGCTGAGAGCATGTCCCCTTCCTGAGGAATGTTAGGTTTTGGTCCGAAGTACCCTATGTTCCAGATGCTGAACCCGTAACAGGTGTGAGTGGAAGTACATGTACCTGTGGATGCCCTGAACTATTTCAGAGCTGCCTGTTGTCACAGTGCTTGGACCCTGTCCCGTTTCGTTGGCCAACCGCCCACCCAAGGGCCTCCCAGCCCGCACAGCCACCTGCTGCTCAAACACATCACCCCGCAGCTGGGAACCAGTCCCAGGATCAGCCATACCGGGCCTCTGGTTTCCCTCTGCAGAAGAGATGGCTAAAGGTTTGCCACTCACCGAAAAGCGACCTGCGGGTTCTGTGGATTCACCAGGAGACAGTCCCAGGAGCGAGCGATGTTGTTCTTGTACAGGGCCACCCTGCCCTCCTCCCGCAGGCAGGCGTGACCGGCATACTCTGCGGCCGGCACCTCCTTCACCCGGTACGGGTTACTGAATATCTGCGTGACGCTGTTGATGGTGTTCACCAGTCGCCCCAGGAACTGCATCTTCCTGGAGCCTCAGGCGGCTCCGTCCGGCTGCTGCCCTTCCACAGGCTGTGTGACTCAGCGTCTGAGTAGGAGAACCAGAATCGCCGAGGTGACGCGGGGCCGGAATAGGGATGGGAACGGGGATGGATACTGGGACGGGCAAAGCACGACGGGCCCCCAGCGCCCCCCGCGCGCAGTCCCCGGCGCGCACCGCCCCCCGGGACGGGCTAATCAGCGGTGCCGCCCCCCCGGGACGGGCCAATCAGTGGCACCACCCCCTAGACGGGCCAATCAGCGGCGCCGCTGCCGGGGCGGGGCCGTGGAGGCGGGGTACGCGCCACACCCGCCGCTTTCCCGAAGAGAGGAGGGCGGAAGGGCGGGAGGCGCCATCTTTGTGAGGGGTGGGACGGCAGGGGCGGAGCCGCGCCCCTTAAAGCGGCAGCGGCCCATTGCGGTGCGACATTCTGCGCCCGGCACGGTCGTTCACCGGCCGTGCGTAGTCCTCGAATTAGGGTTATAAGCGGCACTGTTGGAGCTTGGCTGCGTTCGTAACGCGACGTGTTTAATACGCTGGCAGTGCGCCACGAGGGCGGTCACGCCCGGGCTCTCTTGAGGCAGCGGCCGCTTTAAGAGCAGCGGCCGCCCAGCGCGGCGGCGGCGGGGAGGGGGCGCGGCGGGGTGACGTCACCGCATGACTGTGTTTTTATGAATGAAAAGAATCCGCGGGTGAGTAATCTTGGGGAGCGGGGCTGGAGCCGCCGCCCGACGCCCCGACCGGCACCGGCCCCGCGGCACCGCCGCAGCCGCCAGGTGAGCGCCGGCCGGGCGGCCTCCCCGCTCCTCGCTCTGCTTCTCCCCCTGCGGGGCGGCCGGGACAGGGGGACGGCGGGGTCAGACACCGGCTGGAGGCCGCTTTGCGTACGCCGAGGGCGGGGACCGGGGCTGGGGCTGGGACGGGATCGGACGGGTTCGGGGGGTGGGGGGGTCCGCGCTCGGCGCTGTCCGCGCTTTCCTCCCAAGTCCTAGCCACCGCCTTGGGGGGATCTGCCGCCGTTCCCCCTGCTCCGGCGGCGGCTCCCCGGCCCGGATTGCATCAGCTTCCAGCCGCCCCGGCTCCACCTTCCCCGCCGCCCCCCTCCAGCCCCTCATCCCTCGCGGGGCGTTCCCTGCCCTGCCCCGGCCCCACTCGCCCCTCTGCGGGCTCCCCTGACGAGGACGGAGCTCCCCGAGGTGGGGAGAGGCTCCTGGACTGCAGCCTGGGGTCCCGAACCTCTTCCCACTCTCCGCGCCCCGGGACGGGGAGGAACCGGACACCGACGAGGGGACAGGCGCCGCTTCGGTGACTTTCTCCCTGTGCTGCTGAATCACGGGGAGGGCACTTCTCGCCCGCCCACCTGCGTGGCCCCGACCCTTCGTCCCCCGAGCGTGTGGATGCCCGACCCTTGGACCGGCAACCGCGGTGCCCTCGCCCGCCGGGCCAAAGGGGTGGAGGGGCGGCACCTCCGCGCGGGTCCCGGCTGGGTGGCCTCGTCACGGTGTCGCTCTGTGGGTCTGCTACTTTTACTTTCCCTTCAACCTCGAGCGGATCCCTCCCGGGCTTCCTCCCCGCGGGGAAGCCTTGGCCTCCCAGCAGCCGGCTGGGGCGTTTTGGGTACCCTGGGCAGAGCAGCATCCCCACCATCTCGGAATGGGATGAAGAAGGGATGGGAGGTCCCGCCTTCCTCTATTATTATTATTGCTTGTAGTCATCGCTGCTATTAATATTATTACTACGTACTTTTCATAAACCAGTGGAATGAGTCATAAGGCCCAGAGTGGGGGGGCATGTGGGCAGTGGGCAGGGGACCAGCAGGGCCGGTGTCCTCTGTTCCGTGGTGAGGGCCATGGAGCTGGCTGTAACCAGCTTTTCTCCTGGCTGCTCAACAGGGCCAGCGTGAGGGAACGATGGCTGCAGACGGGCTCTCCAGCAAGGCCTTGAAGGTGAGTGCCAGTGGGAACAGGGGGTTGGGAGGGAGGGGGCTGGTTTGGGGTGCCTCAGGCAACCGCCCCTCTCTCCGGCAGGTGAAGCGGGAGCTGGGGGAAAACACGCCGCTGCTGTCGGATGAGGAGCTGATGGGGCTGTCAGTGCGGGAGCTCAACCACCACCTGCGGGGCCTCTCCAAGGAGGAGGTGGCGAGGCTGAAGCAGCGCCGTCGGACACTGAAGAACCGGGGTTACGCTGCCAGCTGCCGGGTGAAGCGTGTCTGCCAGAAGGAAGAGCTGCAGAAACAGAAGATGGAGCTGGAGTGGGAGGTGGACAAGCTGGCCCGGGAGAACGCTGCCATGCGCCTGGAGCTCGACACTCTCCGTGGCAAGTACGAGGCCCTGCAGGGCTTTGCCCGCACCGTGGCCACTCATGGGCCCACTGCCAAGGTGGCCACCGCCAGTGTCATCACCATCGTCAAGTCCGGCACCAACCAGGCTGCCTACTCCTAGTGCTGGCCTCCATCCCCCGGCTGGGCACAGACCTCCCTGGGGCACCTCCCCCCATGAATTGCCTCCCAGCCCTTCCTCAGCCTCCTCTCTGCTGGGACTTAAACCCAAAATCCTCCTTCTCCTCTCCCTTGACCTCCAGCTCCCCTAGGTGGGGAGGGCTGCTGCAGTGTGGGTGCTGAAGTAGAGGACATGACCCCACTGATGGCCCCAACAGCCCCCTCCCCCCCTCCTCTCCTGGGGGTGCAGACAAGAGAGAGCAAACCCACGCAGGCAGCAGTGGGGAAGGATCCCATGGCTCCAAGCTGGCGGGAAAACACCAGGTGCCTCCTTTTAGGGAGAGGGTATGGGAGAGCTGAATGCAGGCCAGGCAGTCCCAGGAGCCAGAGAGGAAAAGGAGGGGAGAGAGGTTTTGCAGTGCAGGGGAAGAAGGCATAAGAGAGGGATATCAGCTTTGGGCATGCAACTTGGACCATGGCTGGAGCAGGGAGGGAGGTGGCAGCATGGCTGGAGTCTCTGGGGATGGAAATGACAAGGGAAGGTTGGTAGGTCAAGGCGGGAGAGAAAGTGGCTGCAGGTTGATGTCTGGTATGGGTGAATGGAATGGGAAAGCACTGTGGCAGCTTGTGGTGCAGGGGGACCCCAGAGGTGACAGTGATTCAGGGTCCCTTGGGCAGGGGAGAGCTGGGGGACATGAGTGGGTCAACCTAGGCTGTTTTCCACAAAGGGGAGAAGCAGTGGTGCTGTTTTATCTTTCCCTATCACGCACATCCTTCACGCCTCTTCCTGCTGACGGGACACTCAGCCTGGCTGGGTGTCTCTGAAATGCAGCAGCACTGGCAGGAAGGAAGCGGAGGCAGCTGGAGCAGAGATAAACACTGTTTTGCTCAGCACAGGCCAGCTTGTACAGCCCCACCAAGCGCTCCCCAGTGCCCCACCGCCTACAAAGCCCATGGAAAGGTGCTTCTGGCCCTTGAGAGACAGAGCTGCGGAGGCAGAGAGAGGGGCGGAGGTGCAGGAGGTGGGAAGGAGGGATAGAGAGCTCCTGGGAGCTGCCTAGCAGGCAGGTAGGCTCCTCCCTTTGGTTTTCCTCCAGCTTGGACACTGGTGTGGGACAACGGGCTCTTTGGCAGGCTGAAATGCTGGGGAAGAGCTGGGTTTGCTAAATATGGGCAGCACAGGGGAGGTAACAGGAGGCAGACCTGTCTTGGCATCTGCTGCTGTGGATGATTCCCCTGCCCCTCTGTTCTGCCCCTGCCTGGGTATTGCCACGCCAGCCACTTTTGGCTGCAGCCTCCATCCCTCCCCAGAGAGAGGTGCCTGCCACTCATGGAGGGGCACTGTGGTGAGCATCCCCCCACCCCAACTCCCCTTGGGTTTATTTATTGCACGAACATAAGTTATTTTCACGTCCTCTTTGCCATTCCGCCTCTCGGCACAGCCAGGATGTTGGTACAGAGCCGTACTTTATATTTTATATATGCAAATCACATTTTATCTTATACTTATATAGAGCAAAAAAAAACTTATTTATTTTCTGACTTACAGTATGTGTCCTACCCGACTTCTCTGTATTTTGTAGACTTTACAAATAAAGCAAGTTCTTTTTTTTCCACAGGGAGAGTGTGTTTAGTCGTTCTTGAACTTGGGACAGAGCTGTGTTTCAGTGAGACCAGATTTTCTAGCTCCCTCTAGCTTTGCTGCAGGACGTGTTCAAGAACGTGCCCAAAAAATGAGATGGGGACCACTCATGACCCTTTAGAATAAAGACAGATTTATAGTCCCTGAAAGAAAGGGGCTTGGAAAGCAAGCTTAATGCTGAACATCACTCCCCAAATCACTGCAGGAGCAGTTCAGCTGTGCTCAATATTTTCCTAGGAAAAATAATGCTTTTCACTAGAAAAATTCCCTCTGGGCTGCCCTTGGACTGGATGCAGGAGGAGAGGCAGGTACAATCAGAGCAGCTCTGCCCACAATCTTCCCTGCCAAGTGACCTCACTGCCTGACTTAGGAACAGCGAGTAGGAAAGGAGTGAGCTTGTCTCTGTGGATAGCAGAAGGGGAAGGAACTGTTGCAGGCACCTTACCCAGAGTTGAAGCCTGACCTCCTTGTGTGGAAAATCACCTTTCCTCAGAGCTGAGGTGGAAGTGATGAGCATGTTCCCCTGATGCCCAGGTGGGCCTGGTCCCCAGCAGGTTGCAGCACTCAGGATGTTTTGGGGGTTTAACATTCCCATTCCCTCTGCCACTTTCTGCCCCGGCCCCAAGGCTGCTCGTGGAAGAAAAGCCCAGAGTCACTGTTTGTATGGGCCCATGTCAGAGAGCAGCCCCCTCTCTCCCACAGGTGTTTCTCACTGAGCACCCAAGGTAGGACTCATTTCTACAGGTTTTTGACACATGCCTTGAGCCATAAGTGGTGTCTCAGCCCAGAGTGCTGTAGTAATGCCGCTCCATCAGCTCCTACAGACACCTGGACCTTTCCTCCTGAGGACAAAACATCCTGATCCACCAAGCATCAGTCCCTGCAATGAGCAAAAACTTAAAATCAGCTCAGAGAAGTCACCCAGACAACACCACGCAGAGGCAGTTTAAGTACAATCTATATTATCTCTATATTTTTTATTTGTCATCATATTTGCTCATTTCTGCGGAGTATAACGTCACAAAGACCAAAATAGAGAGAGCGGCTTGTCGCTGAGCTCACATCAGTT